GGGCTCTCTGAGAGGGGGCGGAGGAATCTAATTCGGGTTGGCCGTGTTGGCCTCGTGCAAGGCAAATGCCCTACCACTGTGCTATCGCTCCAGCCCAAATAATAATAATAATAATAATAATAATAGTATTGGTTTTTGCCAAGGAATGGGAGAAGGATGTCTTTCTAGATTTATTATTCGAGATCTCACTATCTCACATTTACTGTGAAACATTCATTGCTCTGAGAATTTCTAGTTTGAATGACTTTGGAAGTTTTTTCATGGAGTTAATATTATGCACTTAATTTGCAGTTCATGGGGCCAGAGGGATAGTACAGTGGTTAAGGTGCTTGCCTTGCACATGGTCAATACCAGTTAGAATCCCTCACATGGTCTTTTGAGTGCAGTGATGATCCACAGAGCACCACTAAGTGTGATACCCCCAAATAAGTTAAGGCAATCAATTTGGAATTCAATAGCTTTATCAAATATTCACACATAAAAGCAGGGAATATGGTTTTAACTTTTTATGCAATTATGTGTATAATAGAAAAATCTCAGATCATGTACTAATTTTCTTTTTAAAGTAAATTTAGGGAACTTTGTACAATTTGACCTACTTCTATGTTAACAGTAAATAGGTCTACAAAAGTAGGATGGCCATTCTCATTTTTCGTTTTTTGTTTTTTTTTTCTCTTTTTGGGTCACAACCAGCTGATGCTCAGGGGTTACTCCTGGCTCTGCACTCAGGAATCACTCCTGGCGGTGCTTGGGGGACCAAATGGGAGGCTGGGAATCGAACCTGGGCAAGGCCACATGCAAGGCAAACACCCTACCCGCTGTGCTATTGCACCAGCCCCTATTTTTAAATTCTTAATGATGAAAGTATTAAATAAGATTTTTAAAATTTTAATTAGTACTAGATTTATTTACCCCCCCAGTGTTTAGTAGAAAATTTTTATAAATAACAATTCTTTATAAATAATTCATTATAGAAGCTTACACAGTTAAAAGCATTAATTAATATTAAATAAATAAATAATATTAAAACAACAAAAATTTATATTCAAAGTAGTGGACATCGGTGTTTTTAATTACAGACTGAATAAGGATAGTAGAGAAACGTAGGAAAATGCAAAAAATATTTGTGTTTGATAATGGATATGTGTGAAAGTGCTTAGTCATTGGAGTTGAGTATGTATATTACTCTCTTTCAGAATCGGGTCAACACTCCACAGTGCTCAGGGAGCTCAGGGCCACAGCCAATATAGTATTCAGGACCACTAGGGCTATATCTAGTGGGGACCATGCGGTGCTAGGAATAAAACTTTAGGGTCTCACAAACTTTAGGCTTATGCTCTACCACGTGAGCTACTTTTTCTCTGTGCCTTTTTGTACTGCCTTCAAAAATCAAGTGTGTATTTAACAAAAGAGCCTTCTCAGTTCACACTAACCATGTTTAAACGCTGAATTAACCACACATGGGTTGTGTCTGTCGTTTGACAGAGCAGATCTATCTGGTGATAACTCATGTTAATCATCGTAGAAAGGAGCTTAGATAAAATATGTATTAAAGCTAAGCTCATATATACATATACATACATAAAAAATTAGCCCATACAGATAACCCTTTATAGATACTCAATAAATGTAAGTCTGTCTTTTCTTTATAGCAGTAATGGCCTATTTAGGTGGTGTAGCATGTGTGTTTGGTCAGATCAATCAAGTACTGATTTTTTTTTTATTGAAGAGAGCAAAAATGTTATTATTTCTCTAAATAGCTATCAAGACTGAGGTCTTTGCACTATTCTTTCACTCTGTTTTATTCTTTTATCTTTATTCCTAATACTTAGCTTTCATTAAAGATTGTTGGAAATGCACAGTAAGTTGTTGCTACTTCTGATTTTATAATCCAACTTCTTTTTTTAACTCATTTCCCTCTTCTTTTTCAATGTTGCCACCTTGTACATAATGAAAACTTGATTCTTAGATTATTTTCAACCAGCATGTACTGTAATGGAACAGTACTGTACAGGGCTTTGTTTGGTTTGTCATGGTATACATAATTTATTTAAACAACCACAGTGGTTATTTTACCATATCCCAGGCTCTTAGCCTTATTGGGTCAGATATAGAAAATCAAAAGGCAAATCTGGTGCTAGATTTGTAGGCAGCCAACCTAGGTTTGATCCGCTGAATCCCATTTGGTTTCCCCAAACTCCAACCAGCTGCAGAGCCAGGAGGGACCACTGAGCACACCAGGTGTGGTCCAAAAGCAAACAAACATAAAATAAAATGGAAGACAAACAGAAAAGCAAACTAAGTCTAGAAAAAAAAAATCAGGCTTTCCTTTTAAGACAATAAATTGAGACCTTATAATTCACAAAGGGCATATATTGACTCCTAGTACCGTAAATGCTAAAATTATATTGACAGATTAAATACTCAATTTGGCAAACTCAGGGACAACATTTTATTAGAAGAGCTTTATCCTAGGATTTATTGGAAATGAAGTTGAGATATATTGTGATACATATTTTAAAAGCAGTTACAGAGCCAATTGCTTGAAAGTAGCATTTCAGAGGGCCCTCCACTATGTAAGTGAGGGAAATTAAACTAAAATCTTCACATACACTTATTTCTTAAGATTCTCTTTTGCCATTCATCAGAACTTTGGTTATGGGGACAAAAATCCAAATCAAACTTTTTAGGGGAAAGATGTAATTTCTTAGGAAGATACTTCTCCATTTCTCAAGCAATAACTAACCAGCCTCTGGGCTGGGGTGGCGTGGGATGAGGGAGCTGCAGCTGCCTTTCGCTATCACTGTAGCCCTGTCGTCGGTACTCTTTCAATTGATTTCATTCCTGTCCTTGCAGATTGTCAGAATACCAAATCCTGAATTCCCAGGCAGCTGTGTGGATCTCTAAGGAGGCCACTGTCTCTGCACAATTTCCATAGAACTCTGAACTAGTCGAATGAAGTCAGGTGGGGTGGGAGTCGGCAGTTGCTGGTGGATTTGGTCAGTAACCTGGAAGAGGTTGGTCATGCAAAGATATGATTGTTCTCACTTTAGTTAGGTGGGGGGGTGGGGGTGGAGGTGGGGTGGGGACAGTGTCATAACACACCTAGCCAACCTGGATTTGATGCTGCTCAAGTTAGTCCAGAGCAGCGTTCTGCCTTCTCATGGGAGGGTGACACAAGAATCACATCCCCCGGTAAGAGCAGGGTACTGCTTAGCTTTTAGGCTTTGCTTTTGTAAGAGGAAATAGATGAAAGAGAATCAGGGAAGAATAATTAATGGTTGCAGAAAGAGAAACATATAGCCTGTTGAACTTGAATCCTAAGGCCAGAACACAGTGGCACTAAGAGGCTCAACTCCTGTTTTTGTTCAAGAAATAAGGATATCGAGTTTATACAGAATATATTCTATGAATTGAAAGATCTGTGAAATAATAATACCAAATCCTGTTTTCCCAGTCTTCACAGTGGGAATTTAACTGCTTAGCATCTGTTAGCAAATTAAGATTGTACCAGGGAAAGTAGCACCAAATTTTTATTTCTCTGTTCTTAAGGTTATTAGTCAGGATAACATGGCATTTGCTTTCACCTTTGCAAATACTTCATAAACCATTCTGACACACCTAACTCGCAAGTTCCTTCACATGTCTTAGAGCAGTGTCCAAGAAACGTCCTGATAGATAAATCTCAGAGTAATTTTGGATACTCATAAGAATGTGGGGAGTCCACCCTCAGTTTGACAGCTATTAACAGTAACCACATTAGAAATCAAATTCTTATTTTTTTCCTGACACTTACAAGTAAAGATCATTTGTGAAAGAATTTGACTTCACTCTGTCCTATACCAAGTTTCAAACTGTAGTTGTATTGTAAACATCTTTAGAGGGATAGAACAAAAGATCTTGTTTGACTTACATTTAAGTTTCTCTAGTTTGAGGAAAGAGAATTATCAGAATATGTTTTATAATCTGCCTTTTTGGCATAACTAACAAAACACTAAGATTTAAGGTGTGCGCTGTGATTGAATAGACTGAAGAAAGTGATTAAAATTAAATATTTGACCCTAATTAGGAAAATTAATAGATGTTTTAGTTGGTGTAGACATATACTTTGACTTTTGTTTTGGTTTCGTTATTTTGTTAAGGGGCTATTCCTGGTAAGGCAGGGGTTACTCCTGACTCTACACTCAGGAATTACTCCTGGTGGGGCTTTGGGGACGATATAGGATGCTGGGGCTGAACCTGGGTTGACCTCATGCAAGGCAAGAGCCTTACCTGCTATGCTATCTCTCTGACCCCTTGTTTTTGTTTTTAATTCATGTACTGGAAGAAAATAAAAAGCACCTAATTTTGTATACATCTGTGTGGTTCTGCCATCTGAATGGTAGGTTTATTGGCATATATCTTTTAAATTTTTAGTTTTCATACTTAACAGAATAGGAACACAATTCTATATTACTAAAAATTACACATCAGTATTTTTTCGAGGTATATTCTTGATACAGTAAAATAATGGCAGTTTTTCTAATTTAGTTCTGTATAGTAAATATGGGCTGGAGCAGTAACACAGCAGGTAGGGGGTCTGCCTTGCACGCAGCTGACCCGGAGAGGGCTGCCCCTCTCGGAGAGCCCAGCAAGTTACCGAGAGTATCTCACCCTCACAGCAAAGCCTGGCAAGCTACCCATGACATTCAATATGCCAAAAACAGTAACAAGTCTGTTGTGAGACGTTAGTGGTGCCCGCTCGAGCAAATCGATGAACAGGAGTACAGTGCTATAGTAAATATAATGGAGTTAATATATTTTTATGTTTAGTATATATTAGTACAAATAAAATATTACTGGTTACCTACTTTTTAGCTCAAAGACTTTTTAATTTCTAGACCCTCCTTTTTAAGGTAAATTTGGTGCTTGTTTAGATCATTTAAACTTGCTACCATAATTTGATGTCACTATGTTCAGTTTCAGGATTCGTCTGATTTTTTTTAATTCTTTCTTTCCAGATCCAAGTATTTTAGAACGTGCTCCAGAGGTGAACACTTAACGATAGAGGTAAGTAGGATCAATGAGTTTGACTGGATTAGAAGTGCTTTCAAGAGAGAGATACAGTAAAGAGAAAGGATCTGGAGCTAAATTACTTCAGTCACTGGTGTTAGCGAAGAGGGAAAGAATAGGAGTGAGAGCGCTCAGTGGCACGTACAGGAGGCCCGGGTCTGATTTCCATTACTGCCATGAGCACTTTCAGGGGTGACCCCCAAGCACAGAGGTGGGAGCAGCACAATAGCCCTACGGAGTGTAGCCCGGAATCTTTTTGAAAAGAGGGGTGGGGAACATCTAGAAGTTGAAAGGGAAAAGGTGAGTAGGGTGTCTATGGAAGTTTAAGGTGCTGTTACTAGCTGTTTGGTTTGCATTCTTGGAGGAAGAGAGTCCTCTCTTCTCAGTAATAGAGCTTCCTTGTAAGTCGGTGCAGCAGAATCAAAGCAGCAGGTTGATTTGAAGCTGTTACACAGAACCTGTGGCAAAACCTAAGTTGTGGTCCAAAAGTGCCTGGCTTGCAAGCTTGAACACTGCCTCATTACTTAAGGAGTTAGTTCAGAAAAAACACTAAACAAATAGAAAATATCAGCTCAAGGTAATAATATGAACAGTTTCCGTCTTTTCAGACTCCTATATCTTCTAAACCTTTCGAATCAATGTCCTTGATCTTAAAACAGTATTAACAGAGAATGTCTTCCACTCTGGAGAATCCTGTGTTTTTCTTGAACACAGATACCGCTCTCTCTTTCTCCCCTCATATTTCTTTAAATAAAACTAATTTTCATCACTAATCCCCCCTGCTCCCCCCCAAAAAAATAAACCCAATATTAACAGGGGTCAAGGAGATGCCCCAGAGGGCTAGAGGACATGCCTTGCATGTGGAAAGCCTGGGGTTGGTTCCCAGTAGTGTGGCCCCCCTGGGAGCGACCTCTGCACACCGTAAGTCAAGAATCTCCCTTTTAGCACATGACCCCAAAATCAAAACATAAAATGAAAGTAATAATGATCCGATTTTTTCTTAGAGTGATTGCTTGTGAAAAAACACATATATCCTGGGGGCCAGAGAGATAGTACAGGGGTTAAGGCGCTCGCCAGCTACATCACCCCCAGTTCACATCCCCAGCCCTCCCCTTCTCCCCCCCCCCCCCCCAGGAGTGAACTGTGAACACCACAGGCTGTGACCAAAAAAAAAAAAAAAGATAAAGTAGCATGTATTTTAAAATGACTCTCCGGGTCAGAGCCATAGTACAACAGACACAGCCCTTCCTTGCCTTATACACAGCCAAGCTGGGTTCGATTCCCAGTGCCCCATATGCTCCCCTCGCCTGCCAAGAATGATCCTTGACCACAGAGTCAGGAGTAGGCACTGCCGGGTGTGGTCCTGAAACAAAAACAAAAGACAATGGTAACTTTCATCAGATCTTTCACATCACAATCTGATCAAATCGTGTCAGCCTCTAGAAGCCTTGTCTTTGGAAGTAGAGACTCTCACCTAGTAGGTTTCCAATAAATAGTTACATGAAAGAGTAAGTAAATTTAAACATTTTAAGAGAGGTCTTGATTTGGGTATTTTTATTCCCTTGAGTTATTTTCCTTCTGACAAAATTTTTTTTTTCTAAATTCAAATGGAGTAGAAAAACTGAGTAGATTTAAAACAACATGAAGTACTCAATTCAGATAAACAATTTATAAGCTTCTGATTCATGTAGAAAATGGCTATAATGCTCCCTTTTGTTTTTTACATAAAACCATAAATAAATAGTGTTGCTTGTTTGGACTGTCTTGTCTAGGATTGTTGATTATATCAAATAAACTTAAGTATTTTAAAAAGGCATTTTATTTAAATACCTTACACATATCAAAATGTTATTTTTTAAGTAAAAAGATGACAGAATTTTTGTGATTTCTGTACCTTAGGCAGATATCTCTCTTAACACTTGCTTTTTTTGTTTTTTCAGTTTGAGAATCTAGTGGAGAGTGATGAAGTAAGTATTACCACAGGATTTGTATTTATTTAGGTTACTATCTCATTTGTTGTGAAGATTATTTTTAGATTTTTTTTCTTTTAGGATTTTTATTTCATGTTTTTGGAGGTTCTAGCAGGGGAGCGCAGCTACTCGTATACCCTCGACCGAAGACCGGTCCGTCTCTATCGGGGAAGGCCGTCCTCTTCGACCGAGCGCGCAGCTTCGGGAGGGACGCACATGGAGCGGTGAGGGAGGAAGGGGACACCCGCCTAGCCAGCCAGATCAGCCGAATCAACCCTGGCGATCAATGGGGTGACAGATGTCGCAGCCGGAGCGATAGCACAGCGGGTAGGGCGTTTGCCTTGCGCACAGCCAACATGGCCGACCCGAGTTCGATTCCTCCACCCCTCTCGGAGAGCCCGGCAAGCTACCGAGAGTATTCGATATGCCAGACACAGTAACAACAAAGTCTCCAATGGAGACGTTACTGGGCCCGCTCGAGCAAATCGACGATCAACGGGAGGGCCTTTACCTTTACCTATTTCATGTTTTTATTTTTATGTTTAACCCCTTCGTTTTTTTCTTTTACTAATTTATACTGCCAAATAATTCAGCATTTTTTAGCATGTAAACATAATATTAGAGTGTTTTTATATATTAGCTTATTATATTCTATATGTCAGGTATGGAGGTCAATAAAGGGATACTTGGGAGCTAAAGAAAAAGTGCCGAGGTTAAGATGCTTGCCTTGCATGTTGCTAATCCCATTTCTATCCTGCATACCACATATGAAACCCTGAACATTGCCAGAGTGATACCTGAGCACAGAGCCAGGAGTAAGCACTGAACACAGCTGGATGTGACCCAAAACTAAAAAGGAAGGGGCAGAGATGGGGGGGATGAATTTTTTGAGGGTAAAATTTATATACATGTCCTTTGTTAGTGAAATGTCAGTGGTTTTTTTTTTTTTATGCACTGATTTAGCTAGCAGGGTTTTAATTTGTGTTCATTTCCAACTTCACTAAACAGTATGTGTATGTGCGAATTAACCACCCTTGAGTCTACTTTTCACACATCTCTAAAATGAGTTAGATTAGAACTTTGCAAACTTCGATCTTATCTCATTTTTGTTTTTTGCGGAAAAAAAAGCTTTATCAAGCCAAATAGGATGTTTATAAAACCCAGTATTTGCCAAATTGTGTAGAGAATAGTAGTCATTGTAATTGAAGTATTAATTGTTCAAAGAAAAAAATGTTTGAACTTGTTCAGTTCTGCATTTTTCAAATTAATTTGTGAATTAAGTCTTGAAAATATAGTGATGCTTACTAATTATCATCTGGAGTGCTACAAATGTACTACACATTTGAGGGACTAAGCCTTTTGTTTTCCTAGGCAAGATTAAAAACAAGTGTAAGTGAACACTTAGATGATTTTTATAAAAAGTTGAATCACCATGAGAACATAGTTGTTTATGATTGATATTTTTACTCATACAATGTTCCAACACCCGTCCCTTCACCGGTGCATATTTCCAACCATTTAAGGTGGTATTTTTTAGGAGTTCTGATAAATGTTGAATTCTTCACAACATCATAACTGCTTTTTAAAATTATTTGTAGATCTATATATTTTTCTAAACTCTGCCTTGGTTGAATTTTTTGTTTAATTTTTGTTTTTGTTAGTCATTCTTTTTTTGCAGTTGATGTTTATGTTTGCTTTCCTTTAATGGCATCCTAATTTGCAGTGCTATTTCCTAAATCTATTTGGGCCACTTGGAGTTTCATTTATGCTATTACTTAGTGATTTTCATTTTCATGTTTTAACCATCAGATATGAATAGCTCAACTATGTAAAAACCTACATTTCTCTTGAAAATAATTGTAGTTGGCTTTGGAGGAAAAAGCAATAGCCATTTCATAATCCGATGAAAGCAAACAGTTAATTTATGTTATTCATGATATATTCTGTAACGTTACTGTGACTGATGAAATAGCAAATAAATAAATAATACTAAATTAGTAATTTCCAAGAGAAAATTCAGAGTTGGGTTCCTGTAACATCTGGTCCCAGTAAAAATACTGACAAAAGTCAGCCAGGCAATTTGTAAATTTATATATAATGTTTCTATCTCACATTCTTATAACATTGTTTTAAGGTTTGTTTTTTTTTTTGCCCTCTTATTTGATATATATTAATGAATGTACTCTTTGGGCCCCAGCTGCAGCACTCTAACTGCTCTAACTGATGCTTATACACATGTTCCCTGCGGAGTGCATGGTGGCAGGTGCTTTGTTTGGGACATTTGCCAGCGACTGAGTGCTTTGCCTGAGGGGCATGTTAAACAGTGATTTTACCAATTGCCCAAAAAAGTGCAAAACTGTGGCACATAGACTGCAAAAAAGAACACAGAGAGAGGGCTGAAACAGTAGCCCGGGGCATGTTCTCCCTCACCAGGCGATGTCAGGCAGCTCAGTTTCTACTGTTCTTCAGCATGACCACAGGAGCCACAGCAAGGATTGGTTTTGAAGTTCCAAATACATGTTTTAGGTAGTAGGTAAATTCTGTAGTTACAGGATCCATAAGTAAAGAGGATCGATTGTAAATGATGTGGACGTGGACAAATTATATTTCTCCTAATATTTTTTAAACTTAATTATCTAGTGTCATCTTGTCCCCAGAAGTTCCTTTGGGATAGATAAATACTATAAAAAATTAAGAAATGGCCAGCAAATGGTTATTATGTAATTAAGCTAGATTTTTTTATTATTATTACATTTTACCTTTGGTAAAGTAAAATCATTTGTTTGATATACTTAAACAAATAAAATGTTTATGATAAGTAGGTAAGTTGAAACTATTTTAATAGAATAAAACTATTTTGCTTTAAATGTAATTCAGCTAGTGAAATATCTTTAATTTTTGTGCAGGGGGAAAGCCCAGGAAGCAGTCATAGGTAAGGTTTTCAGCTATTCCTTTTTAAAATTCATTCTGTGTGTACTATTAGAAGAAATTCACTAAGATTCCAGCCTGTCATTTTGGGACCTTAATTTTCTCTATGACTAAGAGTGGTCAATTACATATATCTCAAGAGATTATTTTGAACATTGAAAAATTTAATATATGTAAGTTCCTATGTACTTTCCTATTGAATCTGTTATATGTGCTTGAGTTTTGTAAAAACTATTTGGCCATTAATAAATTATATTTCTTCTAATATCTTTTAAACTTAATACCCCTTTCCTTTATTTATATCAGGGTTTCTTGTTTTGGTGTGTTTTTTTAACTTTTAATGTCTTTCAGTATTACACGGACTACTTGAAAAAAATGAAATAAAATTACTTCTAAAAGAAAGTCTGAATGAGAGACTAAGGAATATGTGATGATTTGAAACAGTTAATGTGGGATGTAACAGAAGTTGGCTGAGTTGAAGGGTTAGTGCTTGGGGCTGAGGGCCAGATATGGATTTTCTCTGTAGAAAAGGCTAATCATGGAAATAATGAAGTCAGAAAGTCAGTAAAATGGGTATGATAATGAGGATAAAGTGAGTATGTTGGTGAGAAACAAGACAGTGGAGTTCAGAGTACTTAAACAGGGGTTATAGTATTAAAAGAGAACTAGTAAGATAAACATCACAAATGTTAGATTTAGTGCTTTTTACTCTAACAGTTTGAAATTACAGCTTCAAATTGCCCTAAAACATTTTTAATAAATTTACACATTTTTTATGTTTCAAGTTGATACAGACTTTCAAAGTTCTTTTTTTTCCTCCCTCACTTTTTTCTGTAGGCCTCTTACTGAGGAAGAAATTGTTGACCTGAGAGAGAGGCATTATGATTCTATTGCTGAAAAACAGAAAAATCTGGATATGAAAATTCAAAGAGAGGTAAATACAGTAGTGTTGCTAACCTCTGTGTTATTGTAAGCCTGTTTTTTAGAGGAGAGTTACATACATGTGTTACTAATGTTGATATGAGCAGTCATTAGGCCTATATTAATGCATAGATGAAAATTATATGAAAGTGGAAAATTATTCTAGTCTTATGTAATTTATCAGACGCCAGATACCGCAGCAATGTTAATTTCTTTCCAAAAAAACCCCTAAAATTAGAAAAGTAATTATTTCTTTTAAAAATAATTACTTCAAGGCCAAAGAGATAGTACAGGAGATGCCTTGCACATAGCCAACCTAAGCTCGATTCCTGGCATCTCACATGGTCCCGTGAGCATCACCAGGAGTGATTCCTGAGAGCAAAGCATCCTCTGAGTAACCTGGAGCATCACCTGGTATGATCCAGTGCCAAAAAATAAAATTAATTTTAGGAGACTAGAGTGATAGTTCGTGGGCAGGGTGTTTGCCTTTAACACAGCTGAACCAGGTTCAATCCCTAGCACCCTATATAGTCCCCCAAGTACCACCAGGAAGTAATTACTGAGTACAGAGCTAGGAGTAAGCCCTGAACATTGTTAGGTGTGGCCCCCAAACAAAAGATAAAATTAAATGTTTATATAAAAATAATTGGATCCAGAGTACAGCAGGTAGGGCATTGTTTGCACACTGCCAACCCAAGTTTGAGTCTTATGGTTCCCCGAGTACCACCAGGAGTCATTTCGGACTATAGAGCCAGGATTAAGCCCTGAGCACTGCTGGGTATGCACCCCGTCCCCCGTCCCTCCCCCAAAAAAAGATAAAATTTTAAAAAATAAAAGCAATTACTTCATTCATGAGAATTGCCGCTGGCGAAATACATGGACCTTTGTATTTAAACCAGTGTATGACTGGGAGTGTGGTTCAAATCATTTAGCACATGGTTGGTGACATGATGCCCTGGGTTTAATTCTTGGCATCAAAAAATTAAAACTGTATAATCAAGGGCTGGAAGATAGCACAGCAGGTAGGGCGTTTGCCTTGCATGTGGCTGACCCGGATCTGATTCCCAGCATCCCATATGGTCCTCCAACCACTGCCAGGAGTAATTCTTGAGTGCATGAGCCAGGAATAACCCCTGTGCAACATCAGGTGTGACCTAAAAAGCAAAAAAAACAAACAAACTATATAATCAACTTTTACAGATTACTGTTTAAGAATCAAGTAGAGGTTTTTGAAAATATCTTTCCGTTGGAGGCCAGAGCAATAGTACAGCATTCAAGCGCTTGTCTTACATCGTGTCTGACTTGGGGTCGATCCCTGAGCCCACCAGGAATGATCCCTTAGTGCAGAACCAGGAGTAACTTCTGAGCACAGCTGGATATGTCCCCAAAAACCATAAAAAATCCATCTGTTTGTTGTGAACTTACCTTAGTGTGTGAGCTATGTCCTTAGTCATAAGTAATAGATTACTTACGGAAATTATATTATTGGATACTTTATAAGAAATGCTAATATTAAGATAGAGAACATTATGTTGAAATTTGACCAGTTTGGTTTGATTAAGCAGTAGATTATTATTAAAGTAGTTTGTATTCTGTTGTGGTTGGCAAGACTTTAAATTCAAAAGTAGATTTTGTTCAACCTGATAGTAATTAAAATCAGGAGACATACAGTGATGAGCCATGAAGTTTGGGAACCTTCACTTCAGTTTGGTAGACCATGGTAGATTGGCGGAGTCTCCAAGTTCTTGGATTTAGGAGGGCCCAGACTCTTAAATTAGGGTAGTAGGCATTGATGTTGTTAAAAATGAAGATCCTTGTATACTCTGAGAAAGAAATAATTTTTATGTATGCAAGTTAGATGCCACTACTTCACAATTCAATGTACAAAAAATTCTCTATCGTATGTGATATTTGCTATCATTTGAGTTGTTCTATAAAAGACGAAATTAAATGGAGAATCACAAAACTTTCAGCTATGCTTCATAGAGATCACTTATTTTTTAATGTTATTTTTGTTTTATAAATAGAAACATTTTCTCTCTAGAGCAGTTAGACAGGTTCTGATTTTTGTTAATCCTTATTGTTTTGTTCATGTACAGTTAGCCTTACAAGAAGAGAAGTTAAGACTAGAAGAAGAAGCTTTATACGCTGCACAGCGTGAAGCAGCCAGGGCAGCAAAGCAGCGAAAGCTCTTGGAGGTGAGGGGAAAAGACCCCAACACGACTTAGGGCTGCTTTTCTCCTGATTTTCTCTGACAAGGCTTCGTGGGGACTTTTCCTCGCTAGACTCAAGGGCTTCTTACTTCACAGCAAATGTTTATTATGCACATATCCTTAATAAAGGCAAATTTGTCCATCTTCAACAGACAGAATAACATCAAATTATTTGCTTGACACTGCATGTTGTTTAGCTTTAGATTAACAGAAGCTAATTATTATCTATCCCAAAGATGAATTTCAGTTTTTGGAAATCCAGTATTAGTTTGGAAAAATACATATTCTCTGAGGTAAAAAAAGATGCAGATTTTTTATTTATTTTTCTGAGTTTTGTCCTTGAGCTGCTAGACTTCCTTGTACTTCCCAGAACTAGTTAAACTGTATGATTTTATTTCTCCAAGGGATAGTGTGTATTTTTCATCTTTATTTATTTGTATTTGGGAGATAGGAAGTTTGGCTCTTGAAAAATCTCTGGTATATTACCAGAGAAGGCAGCAGAAATCTTCCCAGCTGTTGGAGCACCACACATGCAGGCGCTTGGTCCTGGCTGAGTCAGGAGCCATCCTCCATGGTATATGAGCTTCCCCTTGTACATACAGCAGTGCTCTGAGACAGGAAGTAGTATTAATCCCCTGGTTATAGGTGAGGAAACTGAGCTACAGGGATGTTGCTCCCTTGCTTGAGATCCTTCAGCTACTGGAGAGCCTGCAGAGTTAAGCAGAGCAGTACCTGACTGTCCCATCCTCAGTGCGCAGCTTCTCCTGCACTGCTCTGAAACTATTGAGGTACAGCTGCCGTAGCACAAGATCAGGTCACATTGCAGTGGTTATAATTCAGAGAAACTGCCAAGTTGTGTCTGTTGTAGCTTCTCCTCTGACTGTGTTGTTTCTGTGTCATCTGTCCTTCTATTTCTTTTTCTCATCTAGCACCAAATCTTGGGGAAACTTAGAAACTTGCTTTCTACTAAGAAAGAATGTGTTTTTCTGGTTATCTCGTACACAACCTTTTTTTCCACAATAAATTCTCCGCTGCTTGCTCTAGGAAGACTAACAGCATCATTCTGTATACCACATCCCTTTTCCTCCCCTGATTTAATACTAATACAGGAACACGTACAATGTATGAAACCGTACGCTGGAGCCGTGTACCGCAGGTAGGGTGCTTACCTTACACATGGCCGACTCACGTTCAGCCCTGCCGGGAGTGATCCCTGAGCACCTGCCGGGTGTGGCCCAACACCCCTCTCTCCCCAAGAAAGAATAACCATATTCTGACATGGGCTGGAGTGATAGCACGGCGGTAGGCCATTTGCGTTGCACGCGGCCAACCTGGCTGAGCCAGGTTCGATTCTTCCACCCCTCTCAGAGAACCCAGCAAGCTACCGAAAGTATCTCGCCCGCACGGCAAAGCCTGGCAAGCTCCCTCTGACATATTCAATATGCCAAACACAGTAACAAGAAGTCTCACAATGGAGACGTTACTGAGCCCGCTCAAGCCGATGAACAACGGAAGGACAGTGCTCCAGTGCTATATTCTGACACACGAATACAGTGGAAATAGGCAAATGCCAGTTTTCAACCCTGTAAGTTTTCTCAGCCACTACCATAGTCATTTGTAACAAAGATGAAGGTGAAGAATATGTTAGGGGAACAGCTCATAACCAGTCGGATCCACAGCCCCGATAGCTTCTAAGTCCTTTCATTATTACTCTTATTAACTGATAATGTTTATTACTTTTAAGTCAATATCTATATCTTCTAGAGCTTTTTTTTTTTGCTACTTACTTCACCCAAAATAGACCTTCATATATTGTTTTAACTCCTTCTTGCCCCTCCTCCTTCCAGATATTTGCTGTCCTTAAGAATGCTGAGGACACAAAAAAAAACTATCTCTTTTTAAAGTTATTTTTATAACATTATTAAGTGTTCTGACCACTTAATGATTATATCCTGATAAATTAAGAGAAATGCTCACCACAAACATAGAGAATATAGAAGTGCTAAATTTTAGGGAAAAAAGAACTTTAATTGAGTAACGTTTTTCCCCCTTGAAATTTCAAGAATTGCACGAATAGTTTTCAATTTTTCAACAAAGTGAATTTTACATATTGTGTTATATTTTCAAAGCAAGAAAGAAAGAGAGAACAGCGATACCATCCTTCCAGCAATGGAGAATATCAAAGGTAAATAGGAAATACAGTGTTCCTTTTGTGACAAAAATTGCTATTTCGTTACTGGGCCCGCTCGAGCAAATCGACGATCAACGGGAGGGCCTTTAAAAAAAAAATAGAACACAGTTCACCCCTATATGTTTGTATATGCATATTAAGTTTAAGTGTGTTTCCTAAAATATTTTTGCTAGTCAATATACCATGTTACAAGAATACTGAGACTCAGCATTTGCTTTATGTTAGAAAATGGTCATCCGTTATTAATCCTTAACACTCAAGTTGTCTCCTGAGCACTTCCAGAAGTGATCCCTAAGCACAGAGCACTGCCATATATGGCCCCAAAACAACAGCCACTACCACCAAAATTGTATCTTCCACAGAAAAAAATTATGTGCTAGTACAGGGAATATTTTTGGAAAAATTGTTTGTCTTGGTGGTTTATAGCTATAAATCCACCATAATATTTTCCATAGCCCCTTTTCTTGGAACAGAGTGTGTGATCAGTTTTTGGAAAATACATTTTCAGTGTCATTTCCTTGAGTGTTTCTGCACATGTAGAGAACACTGTTCTTATATATTCATTATTGCATATTATAAATTTGGAATTTGTAAACCTTTGGAGGCATGACTTAAAAATTAATCAAAGCCTTTCAGTTTTTTATGAACATTAAGTATAAGGCCTGTTTTATAAGATTATTCTATTTAGTAAATATGAATTAGACTTTGGCTGTGGGATAGATTTTTCAAATTCCATCATCAGCTTTATATGCATTGTGTTGTACCTGCTATGAATCTACTGTGATACTTTTTTTTATAGTTGTTTGCACTTTTATTACAGTTCAGGACCAGAAGATGACTTTGAATCTTGTTTGAGAAACATAAAATCACAGTATGAAGTTTTCCGAAGTAGCAGTAAGTTTATAAACTTCTATTTACATTTTAAGTTTACGTTAAGCCACATTAAAAGTACAATCTTTGATTCTGTTTCTTTCTTATGCGTCTGTGGAAGAATTTCCTGCACTTCCCGTTCGTATTGCCTGGATTAATGAACTAGTCCATAATTATGCAATATTATCGTTCTCTTTTTTAAAAGGAGTTGGAGCAAAGAAAAATCACAGGCTATTTTTGTAGAGCTGGACTAGAAGTCAAACACTTTTTTTTCATTTCTATTCTTAACCTCCTAGAAAAAGAAAGAGAAGGTAGGAGAAAATAGGGTAGAAGTATTTTTGTTTTATTTATTACAAATTGACTTACAAGACTTAAATGTTTCTCCAAGTTTCAAAATTTGGAACTTTCCCCATATGATTGATACTTTCAGAAGTTTAGACTACTTTTCATTTGTTCTATCATTCCTATTTGCTTTTTTGTCCTCCTTTGAACTGGCTATTAAAAACATTTAGAGTTTGTCTGAAAAGTTTATAAAGGTAAAGGAAAAGTTTATAGTTTGTGTTTTTATTGTGCTAGAAGGGAAAAGAAAAGACAGTAAAAGAAAAAGTATTTCTTACTACTCTTCCTAACAGACCTACCAATCAGTGACTTCAGTTACTGTATCTAATGCTTCTAAAATGAACAGTAATATTTGGAGAGTTATTACAGAATATCTGGCTGCTATAAAGGACTCCAAGTGGTCACCTTTCATTGTGTTTGCACTTGTCCAGGGCTCTCATCAGATGCCACTGTGCTGACACCAAATACAGAAAGCAGTTGTGATCTCATGACCAGGACCAAGTCGGCCAGTGGAAATGATGACAGCACATCCTTGGATCTGGAATGGGAAGATGAAGAAGGTATTTTCCATCCAAGGTTTTATCTGAAAAATTAAATTTTAATCTGTGTTTATTTGTAGACGCCTATTTGGCATTTTACAGTATTTGAATTAATGAACATCCTTGAAAAGTTTGTTTAAAAGTTTTTGACACGGTGCCCTGCAGATGCTGTGCCGGCACCACAGACACGGCTGCCTGGCCACATCGGTGACGCAGGGCACAGAGAAAGTGGCTATTTCTACGCTCAGTGCCCAGACCCGTGGGTGCTAAGAATGGTTTGTAGCCTCACATTCACACACACTGAAAAAATTGACTGTGATAGTGATTAGACTGCAGATAATTTGTTTAAAAAGACACTTGTTATATTTCTTGAGATTTAGAAAACAATGCTAATTTCTCTTTCTGTCTTTGGCTTGGGGGCCACACCCGGCAGTGCTCAGGGATTACTCCTGGCTCTGTGCTCAGGGATCACTGTGGGCAGTTCTCTGGGGACAATATGGGGTGCCATATTGGACCCAGGTCAGTCACACAAAGCAAGTGCCCTACCCACTCTCCAGCCTCTTAATTTCTCATTTTTTAATTTTTGTAGTTCCTCCCATGAAACTGTTCAGTAAACAGAATTACTGCCACCTGGTGGGCATCCTAGAGCCAGATGTAACTTTCATTTCATCCTGAATTAGGGTTTTTGTTCCACAGTACACACCCCATTAACAGAAATGACTTTGAGTATTAATTGGAATCGCATTAGATACTTTAGGTATATTACCTAGTTTGTGCCATAGTTTGTTTCTCACGAGAAATAGGACGCTGTGGCTGTGGCCGAGTGTCTGAGGCCCTGGGTCGCCAGAATCCTGGCTGTGTTTCCCAGCATTGCAGCAACACCAGAAGGCAGGATCAGAACCTGTCTTAAGGGAAGATTCTGCATGGCATGCTCCCTCAAAAATGTCTGGCACAAAGCACTAGCCTTGGGTGCTTGTGGAAATCAGCCCTGGGACGATGAGCTATGGGACGTGCTGACCAGACTCCTTGACCAGATTCTCCAAGACTCCCTGAGCAGGTGCACCGAGTAGCAAAGCCGGGCAGTGGCTCTTTCCAAGGTCGAGAGGGTGAACTGAGAAGATGCCTGGGGTGAGAGTCCAGGGGATGGTGAAGAGGTTAAACTTAGTTCCAGATTATCCCCGTCAAAGTTGGCTAGCAGGAGAGAGACCAGGGTGGGGGGGATAGTACAAGGTTAAGAAGTTGGCCTTCCATGCACTGGGCCCTGGTTTGAGAATAGTATAGGGTTAAGTAGTCGGTCTTCCATGCACTGGGCCCTGGTTTGATCTCTGGCACCACACAGTCTCCTGGCCATCTTCAGGTAGCCCGGGATGCCCCCGAGTCCACCTGGTGGCCTGGGTAATCCAGCAGCATGGCATCCGTCAGCCCACACATCCAACTGCCTGTCTGCTGGCTGAGAATGAGAGGAGTCCCTGGAACTCCTGACCATAATGGGGAGACCCCCCAAAAAAGTAAATATAAATAAGTGGAGCGATAGCACAGCGGGTAGGGCGTTTGCCTTGCACACAGCCAACATGGCCGACCCGAGTTCGATTCCTCTGCCCCTCTCGGAGAGCCCGGCAAGCTACCGAGAATATCTCGCCCGCACGGCAGAGCCTGGCAAGCTCCCCGTGATGTATTCGATATGCCAGACACAGTAACAACAAAGTCTCCAATGGAGACGTTACTGGGTCCGCTCGAGCAAATCGACGATATAAAATTTATTTATTAAATAGAAAAAAATATATAAATAGGAAAGCCGCAGGGTGGGTTTTGTTTTTTTTTGTTTTGGTTGTTGTTTGGGGGTGACACCAGTTATGCTTAGGGCTTACTTTTGGCTTTGTACTCAGCTGTCACTCCTTGCAGGCTTGGGAGACCATCTGGGATGCCAGGGATCGAATCCAGATCAGCCAGTGTGTAAGGCAAGCGCCCTGCCCACTGTGCTGTCACTCTGACCCCTGCACATTTTAATCCAGTGTTGATTCTATACTTATACCTTCTAGTTTCTCTCCTTTCTCCCTGTCTTATACCACTAAAGTGAACATTTTTTCTGCCAATGTTTTTGTTCTGTTTCTGCCAATTTTTTTCTGTTCAGATTTAGATCTAGAACAGCGTCCCCTGGAAATGCCCACTCTATTGTGGTAGACACAGAGGAGCAGACCTGGTGGGCAGAAGGAAAGAGCAGGTTCTTCCTTCACCCCTCTTGCAGCTCTGTCACCTTGGGCACATCCGTCTACTCTGCCCCGGCTTCTCAGTTGTAGACGAGGCGGGGCTCAGAGTCCTATGTGGAACCACAGAGAACTGTTGAGATTAGTGCAGTTAGTCTTTGGGAAATGCAGACTGCAAGGATGGGGCACTTGCCTTGCACATCGCCAACCCAGGAGTCCCCTGACCTCACCAGGAGTGATTTACTGAGCACAGAGCTAGTAATATGACCTGGAACCAACATGTGTGGCCCAAAAACTTAAAAAAAGAAAGTTGAAACTAGTAAGTGCTGGGAAAATGATATGTTGAATAGGACTTTGGCAGCCAAGCTGATTTGGCCATGTAAGTCCTTTTAAGTCTTCCATCCATTCTGCTGCTTGAGTGGATCTTCAGAGATTTACACCTTATTAGATGATTAATGTCAATACAACCCTTGTGTATGTATTAATGTTTATTTTTATCTAAATTAGACACCAGGGTTAGATTACCTTTAAAAAGACCTCCTTGGGGGGCTGGAGCAATAGCACAGCGGATGGCGTGTTTGCCTTGCACGCGGCTGACCTGGGTTCAATTCCCAGCATCCCATATGGTCCCCCAGGCACTGCCAGGAGTAATTCTGAGTGCATGAGCGAGGAGTGACCCCTGTGCATCACCGGGTGTGATCCAAAAAGGAAAAAAAAAAAAGACCTCCTTGGGATTGAGTAATTCACACACCAGGTCTGACTGATTTATTTTTGGCTTTGGAGCCACGCCTGGCAGTACTCTAGGCTACTCCCAGTTTGCTGCTCTGGGTTTGCTCCCGGCATGTTCAGGCAACCCTGTGGTGCCAAGAGTTGACTCCAGGCCTCCTGATGCACAGGCATGTGCTCCCTTTGAGAGCACTCTCACCAGCCCCCAAGTCTGATTTTTAAATAAAACTGGATCATTAAACTCTGATGTCTTACACAGATTTTTACTCTCTGCTTAGACTTCTAATAATTTTGCCCAACTAATAGGAATGAATAGAATGCTTCCAATGAGAGAACGCTCAAAAACAGAGGAGGACATCCTCCGGGCCGCCTTGAAGTACAGCAGCAGGAAGACTGGAAGCAATCCTACATCCGCCTCTGATGACTCCAACGGGCTGGAATGGGAGAATGATTTTGTCAGTGCTGAAATGGATGACAATGGCAATTCCGAGTATTCTGGATTTGTAAATCCTGTATTAGAACTGTCTGATTCTAGTGTACAGCCACCAGATACAGATCAGAAGCGATAGGGTAAGAGTGGGTGACCCTATCTTACCAGTTATGACCAAATGTTAAAAACTTAATTAGAATGTATAAATGGATGTACTGAGCCTTTTTGTAAGAGGGAGGTAAGAAACCATGTTGTAAATGCTTATTACAAAGGAAAGAAGAATGTTTTGGCTATCTGAATGGCTTCAGAATTAAGTGCAATTTCATCATCTGCCTTCTGCTTTTCAAAAACAATGATTCTGTCATACGATCAATTAACATTAATTTAAACTTTTTTTCCTTAGCACATTCTTGCTTATTCAAGCCATTTAAAAATTATTTTATTGATTTTATTTTGAATGCTTCCTTAGGTATATTTCAGTGGCTAACTCTGAAACTATCAAGGCATTTTTCATTCTCGGCAGACATGGAGGAACTGTCAGATTTAGGATCGTGTTCCCTTTTACAGCGTTACTTCTGTGACTTGGTTCAATTTATTATCAGATAGTAAGCACCATTGATTTAAGTAGATGACTGTAAAGAAATGCCTAAGTTTCCATTTCTTTCTACAGAGTCTAGTGCGTTGATGTGCAAACTTACAGAGTTGGGACACAAAGTTGATTAAAAGTAAAATTTAAGGGAAAAAAGAAATATATATATACTTAGGTTTTTCACTTCCTTTTACATGCCACTATAAATGAATATTGAATTTAGGTTAATTGATGTATTAACTTTCCAGGTCATGTTTTTAAATTCTCTATTTCCAGTAGTCTAGAAAAACTTTACACAGAACATATTCTCTGTGCATGATTTATTAAGAAATGGAAACCTAAAAAGGTCATACGGGTATTTCAAAGTAAATAAATCCTTTCTGGTTCGAAAGGATCATTGATTTTAAGCAGCTTTCATTTGCCTTGTAATACAAGGTGCTTTATTGGGATGAAACTAAGTATGTCAATATATATAATTGCATTTTGTAATATAAAATTAGCTCTTCTTTCTCTAAAGTTTATTATCTATCCTTTAAAAAAAATCAAGGCTATAAGATACTCCCTAATGGCTTATCCTGATTTGCTGAGAACTGAGTATGATTTCAGTAAGTAAACTGATTTTCAGGTTTTTCCCTTAATATTATTTTTCTTTTTCTTGCAACAATGACAGTGCATGTTCTCAAAAATATAGGAAGGTCCAGATATAAATAGTAACTTAAAGTTCTTGCTGTACTTAAATCATGTGGCCCTTTCAATATTAGAACTGCTAGGCAATGACGTAGTTTCCTTATCTCATAGAGAGTAAACATAACACCTCCAGTCTGTAAAATAGCAGATAATGATATTATTTATGTCTAGCTTAATTTAAGTTGTAGCTATGTCATTGGAAATAATTTAAAGGCAATCTATATTCACATTGCTTGTGTTATGCTTTTTAAAATTTGTATACATGAGATGTATATTTTTGGTTTGGCGTAAGCTACTATTGTAATTTTTCTTGGCATTTTGTTCATAAAGAACTTTTTGAAGTAATGGTAACTTCTCAAGCATTGTGAATAATAAAATTTTTTATTGTTAAAAATAATAAATTATTTGATTATTACTGGTTTCACTCTGTAAATATACAATAATTCAACTTATAAGATACTTTTTTTTTTTTTTTTGCTTTTTGGGTCACACCCGGCGATGCAAAGGGGTTACTTCTGGCTCTGCACTCAGGAATTACTCCTGGCAGTGCTCAGGGGACCATATGGGATGCTGGGAATTGAACCTGGGTCGGCCACATGCAAGGCAAAAATGCCCTACCCGCTGTGCTATCACTCCAGCCCGAGATACTTTCTTAAACATGCCCTGAGCCAAAAATAACTGAATTTGAAAATGTTTATATTTTCATGCTAAAGGAAGATTACACATTTTCTTGATCTTTTTATAAAATTCTGAAAATGACAGTCGGCAAATCTTGGCGGCTCTAGCAGTTTCACTCTGTCCCCCGGTTGTTAAGGACAGAGTGAAAAGGACCTGAAAGTTCCTGCTCTTTCACTTATATTCTGTTGAGATAGAAAATTGTTGCGGGGCATCATTCTTCATAATAAAGGAATGGAAAACAGTGAGCCAAAGTTGTCAGCTGAGAAGTGGGGTAGCAGGTAAAGGGGCTGTGGAGTTCTGCCAGGGAACCTTAGCTTGTGCAGGCAGGGCCCAGTTAGTCAAATAACAAGCCTTTGGTTTCATCATAACAATCACCATAAGAAATGAACTGAGAAAGAAGGGCCAGGAGGTGAAACATTCTGCAGCGAAGATACAGGCTGCTGTGATCAGTCAGCAGCTAGCAGTAACTTAAACCTAGAATGGAACAAAACAGTTTCTCAAGGGAGAGCTGACTGCAGACATGAGTCTACACAGGAGATGAATGAGCTCACACCGTTTTCTTGCAGAAAACCCTACATGACGTGGGACCGGAGATACAGCACTGGAAGCTACAGCCGTGTACCCGCCACTTCAGAAGCCCCCCACAAAGCACTTTCCTTCAAGTTTCATGACTTAATTAGAGCACCACTGAGCAACAACACCCTCTGAGGCACGGTTTGGGAAGACGCTTTTTCTCTGCTGGTAGTGGCAGGGCTGGGCCCCGATCAGCCTCCTTAGAACTGAAAGCAAGAGCTCAGCTTCTCACCGGGTGACTGAGGAGCAACAGGGGTTTTGTTCTGAGAGCTGGCACACCGTGGAACGGGAGCTCACAGCACGCTCCTGAAACAGCTGCAGCCTTGCCCAAGGTGCAGCCCCTCCTACCTCACCCCTGCCCCAGATTCTCTCAGATCCTCCCACTTCCTTTACAGCTTGTAACCAAAACCTGTATTACTACTGGAATCCACTGCACGATTTCTAGGTCTTTGGACGACGACGATAAATCATGTTTTAGCAACCTCTTCCACTTTGTGTGTCCTTATAGAAAAAAATAATAATCTTTGTCAAATTGAACAAAACCTTTTTACCAAGATGTAAATTAAAAGGACTTATTAACCATTTAATTCTATGACATTGGGGTTTTTCTAAATAATCGCCTAACAACTCTTGGTTCAAGACAATGGCATCTGAATTCCACAGTATTTAGACTCTCTTAACTCAGTGACTCATTTATTAGTCTCAGAGACTGGAAACCAGACAAGTGAGATCTTCCAAAATGGTCAAAATGTGACAGCAGGTACTACTGGTCAAAGTATTCACACTTTGTTTACAAAAAAAAATCTTTTTTTATCCTGAGTCTAGTTACACTGTAAGCAATTCTAACCAACATCTGGTTTGTAAATCCACATGGAGCAGGAAGTGTTACCTGGTAGAAAAAGATGGTATAATGCAGGCAGCTGATTGACAGGAGTGGGAAGAGGAGCAGAATGAGCTCAGGTGGGAATATGTAGTCTCTCTGTTGCTGTAAGCAGTGGCTACAATTGAGCTCACAATAGTTTTACCATCCTCCAGTTGTATAGGTTAGAAGTTCACTGCAAGGGGTCCACATATACAGCTGCTCCCGCGGGCGCCTTTACTGGTGTAGCAGTGAGATGTCCAATGCACATTTGTGTCTTCCAGAGCTGTGCATGTCTCCTGTCTTGGGGCCCCTTCATCTCCACCTCCAGCAGGAGCAGGAGGTGTCACCCTCCGTCTTAGACCCACATGCTGTTTTGCCTCTTCCTGCCTCTGAGTCATTGGGCCACTCAGATAATTCGGGATAATCACTCAGTTTAAAAGGTCCCCGATTAGCAGCCTTAATTCCATCCTACAACTAAGCTGCTTCTGCCATGTAATACTGCAGTCACAGGTCCCGAAGATTAGCACATGGAAATAGGTGCTGGTAGGGGATGGGGCTATTACTCAACCCCAAGGAGTGAGCAGGAGAGGGAAGATGTGGATATGGCAACTGAGGTGATCTTTCTAGCGGTTATGCCTGGCTTCCGGGTTTCCCTCTTGCAGAGAGACCAGTTCCAGAAATGAGAATGCCAAAGCAAAGGAACCTTTATTGCTACCCCAAGCTAGGGTCCAGGCCTCATCCAACGCAGTGGACTCTTGACCAGGACCCTGACCCTAGTTCCAGGGAACATTATATGACATGGTTACAAAAGCAACATTGGCAGTTTTTCCCAAGAATTGCGTCAAAGCAGTCACAAGTCTGTGAGCTAATTGGTCATGCCCACCTGCTGTGCCCAGAGATATCCTACTTACAGGACTGGCTAGAGGCGTTTAGGGGATTTCCAGCTTTGGCCAAGGACAGTCTCAGGGAATTCTTCGGGGGGATGGGTGGGGGACAGAAATTTAGGCCTACTGCTTGTTTTGCTGAAATGCAGCCTGTCATGGTGCATAGGAGGTTCTTCGGAGGCCTCACACTGGCCACTTTCATAGATGTACTTGGAGGCTCAGGGTTAGGAGTGAGGGTGCTGGGTATCACGCACCTAAACGGTGAATCAGGAATAGTTTAGAGAGGTTTAACATTCTTAGTGAGAAGCCAGAAAATTATGAAAAATACTTAAAGGTAAAAAAGGTAAAGGCCCTCCTGTTGTTCGTCGATTTGCTCGAGCGGGCCCAGTAACGTCTCCATTGGAGACTTTGTTGTTACTGTGTCTGGCATATCGAATACGTCACGGGGAGTTTGCCAGGCTCTGCCGTGCAGGCGAGATACTCTTGGTAGCTTGCCGGGCTCTCCGAGAGGGGCGGAGGAATCGAACTCGGGTCGGCCATGTTGGCTGCGTGCAAGGCAAACGCCCTACCGCTGTGCTATCGCTCCAGCCCGTTGGTCTAGGGGTATGATTCTTGCTTAGGGTGCGAGAGGTTCCGGGTTCAGGCGGCTGAAGAAAAATACTTAAGTGTGAGAGAAATAGTACGGGGGTTATCTCTGCATATAGCCGATCCCCACTTGATTTCATATGGCTCCCCAAGCCCCGCCAAGAGTAATCCATAGTCAGGCATAAGCCCTGAGCACTGCCAGGGGTGGCTCAAACCCTCCAATTTTGTTTAAAAAAAAAAAACAAAAAACATTAGTTTGGAATAGAAGTCTGGGGTGGGGAGACAGAAAACTGGCTGGGTAGTGGACATCTTCCTGCTGAGGTCTCAGCTAAGAACTTGGTGGTGTTCCTCATGCCAGTGTGATTCCCACTATGGCCCGGGACCACCACTGAGGCCCCTGATCCCCAATACCATCAGCTGATGCAGCATCTGAGCGCTGCGCCCATAGACCATGGCACCGGAGCCCAGAGTGCATGGCTGCTGGCCACTGCAGGGACAGCGACAGGGAAGGGTGAGCTGAGGAAGAAAATTTCAAGCACATAAATTAGAGAAAAAAACTTAGAAAGAGTTTTGGTGTTTGCTGATGATCAATCAAACCCAGAGTCTCACAGATGGTAAGTCAGCATTCATTCTGCCATAGCGCACAGACTTATCTAGAAATATGTTATTTAATTTTTTTAATGAACACAATGTAGAAAACTTGGTCTACCTGAAAAAAATAAATCGCACATGGAGCTTCACTTCTTGGTAGTGCTAGGATTTAGCAAATCTGAGCACTTGAATGTTACTTAAACGTCACTGATTACCTAGTTCGAATCACTTGAATGAGAATCTCAAATAGAAGCACCTATTTTAAAAGATATGATCTTCAAAATATTTAAAAATTATTATAAATTATTTTGTTATATATTTGTATAGAGTAATCCTGGCAGTTCTTTGCTTTCTACAGTTTTAGAACAGAGTACATGTATTTATACTATTAGAAATATAATCTTTTTTATTTATATACTACTAGAAATATAAATAATATTTGTACAGAGTAGTCTTAAGAGCAGATTTTTGCTTGCTTTCTCAGAGTGCTGGAGGGCATGCTTGGAACCCTGGGTTTGATCCCTGGCACCACGTAGCCCAGAAGGTACCCATCACTGTGGGGAAGGTCAGGACAAGTCCAGGGCCGTGGGCTGGCTCAAACAGCTCTTGGGCAAACACTGCATGCAGAAGGCTGTGCTTCAATCCTCAGCACCACACTGAGAATAGCTCAAGCACCAAAAAGGAAAATAAAAAAAATAAGTTCCAAAGAAAATGCTTAGAAAAATAGAGAAAACACTAAAGGCTATAAAAAAAAAGGGGGGGAATTCAGGGACCAGATATGTATTACATAGACTAGAACAGACTTAAAATTTGTTTCAAACCAAAAAGGGAAAATCTGAATCTAGGCAGAATGGTGGTTTTTTGGCATGTTTAAATACTTAGATGCCGAACTAAATGAGAACTCTGTTCTGGGGAACAAACACTCATTCTCCAGAAGTGAAATACCAAGCTACTCTTTCTCAAATCAATCTTCCCATAGTAAAGGCACAGAGACGCGCTGACACGCAGCCAACGCTCAGCACGCCGGGTCCAGAAACCTGGGACCTCGAGCGCAGCCGGCTTCAAGCGCCAGGTGTAACCTGCCTGTGGCTCGGGGCTGGGCAAAGGGCAGCTCTGAAATGACAGGACCAGATGCAGAGACGGTGCCTTCCGGCGGCCAAACGGAATCCAGCAGACAACGGAAATCACCACCTGATCTTACAACCCCGTTCCTGCAAAGCCAAGGGCAGGTGTCGTGCGTTAACTCGCCAGCAGACATTAAAGTAACGTCCACACATTGAGAGTCTGACAGAGAGTCTGAGGGACACCAGGCGCTGGCAGGTGATGACGGCACGATACGCAAGCACCTGTCAAGTGTCCCCGAGTCTGTCTTGTCCTTCCTGATCTCAGTCCTCCAGGCTCAGAACTCATTTTCATCCATTTCCAAGGGCGAACTGTCCTGGGTGCACCAAGATGAGTAGCTGCCGTCCTCAGGTACAGGCTTCTGAGCTGGCCAGTTGTTCTCCTGTGACAGTGACTTTGGCGACAAGATAAACTGGGTCTCAAAGAACTCCAAGGACTCCCCGTCCTCCTTCTCCAGCAGGAACTGGTAGTCGCCGAACCGCACCATGCACCGGTAGGGCAGATCCATCTTGTTGAGGTAGCCCAGTTCCTTGTTGTCCACCAGCAGGCTGGTCTTCTTGCTCATGTTTTTTATCTCGAATGAGAGCACTGAGCTGTCAAACTTTTTAAACAGCTGCAGCGAGAACTGGACCCGTGAAACCTGTCTGTCCTGAAAGGTGTAGCGACAGATGCTGGAATTCCGGCCGAATCTCACCACCTCGCTGGAGGGCAGCTTCTCCCGGTTGTAAAACTTTATTGATTGGAAGATCTCATTTTGCTGCTGGCTGGGGTGGTAAAGAGTCATCTGCAGACAAGTGACTGTCTCCTCCGTGTCAGCCTCTTCGAAATAGGACATGGTGGGGCCTCCAAACCTCACCAGCCTGGAACAATTGAATCAGCGTGTTAATTCCCTACGGCACGTTAGGCATTGAGATTGCCCCTTCTCATATTTGGAGGAAAATCTACTGATAGGTGGTTTGCTTAGACTTGGAGTTAAAAAAGCAATTCAGGGTCAGGGAGAGGGCTCAACTGGCTGGGGTGCAAGGCTGTGCAAGGGGGACAGTTAGCTCTGATGTCCAGCACTGAATGCTCCCCTGAGCACCATTCGGATTGACCCTGTACCCAGCACCACCAGCTGTAGCCCCAAAACAGGAAAAACAATTTAAAAAGGAGAACGACATACTTTTAAGAAACCAGGGAGTTCCACACCAAGCCCTACGAGAACTGGCATATTAGTTTGACTCTAAGCCCTGACCTTAAATAATCTGGACAGAACCAGAGAGACAGTTCAATGGGCTGGAGTGTGTGCTGGCATGCAGGGAGCCAGGGTTCAATTCCTGGTCCCCCATGGTCCCCCGAGGAGCATCCCCTAAGTATCACGCTCGGCATGACCCCTGGGCCTCACTGGGCCTGGCACAAAAACAAACAATAATTATGGCAATAATCAGGACAATAATAAGAAATTAATGTTAATAATAACAAAGTCACGGTCACGGTCCTCCTGTTGTTCATCCAGGAAAGGAAAAGAAGATACTGCAGAGAAGGGAGAGAAGGGGGCTCCAATTTACTTACTTTTCTCTTCACCCCCAGTACCAGGGATTGAACCCAGGGCCTCTAACAGGCCAAGCATGATTTCTACCACTAAAACTACCTCCCTGGTCCCCTACTGTTTAATAGCATTACAATCAGATGATGAATTGTGAAGTCTGTCTAACCTAAACATTACAGTAATGACAATGATGCTTTATATCCTCAGTCATTTCTAGTCGCTACAATAAATGTTCTGAAAAGCTATTGTGCCATCTTGGAATTTGGACATAACACATCTTACCAAATCTCCACGTGATACTTTAATGTTCTGGTCTGTTCCTGTCAAGGAGCAATTTCTCTGACTGCACAAACTGTCCCTGATCCAGAGGCTCTGACTGACCATTACGGCCACCTGAGTCCCTTACCCTCACCTACACTTTCAGCATCAGTGGAATAAAGTTATGGAGTGGGATAGGAGAATTCATTATTAAAACTTTTATGAAGTGTAACTTGTAAAGTAAAACCTTGAAAACTAAAAGAGCTACAGCACAGGTTTTAAAAGTTCAAATTGCGAAAAAGAATATAAAGAAAGATTATGTTCTCTCCAATTCCATCCTGTTTCCTCTTCTAGAGTCAATGACTGAAAAATGCCTGAATCCTTAGAAAAATTATTGTTCTTTTTACGACAAGCCTGGGAGAGATACTTGTTTCAACACACAGAAAAATCTCTTCTACCTATAGGAATAGACTATATACCAGATCTTGCATTTTTCAATACATAAAAGAGCATTTTTCTCCCCTATTTCTAGACAAATCAATATCCTTCTTGAGGAGCTCTGAAACACCTTGATCCCTGCATGGTCAGGAACCAAATTCCACTGATGCTGGGTATTCTGTATTCTGTTCCTTTCACATCCAGTCAGGGTTGGGTATCCAAGTGCTAAGTGAGACTGATTTGAATTTTTATTGCTTTCTGTTTGCCTTCTATGTTAGATACTAGTCTCAAAATTATGCTGGTTTTAAAAAACAAAGTAAGATGCTTTCTTTTTCAACAGTGCTGCTTTTAGCTTTTAGAATCTTCCCTTCTATTTCCAAGGTTATACTGCTAAAAACCAAACTCGGTTTATTCCATTCGTGACAGCCAAGCAAAATTCCCTTTTTTATTCACTTTAGAAATAAATCTTCTATTAAGAATTTCCATTTGGGAAAAAGTCTGGGCCAGCCAAGAGGGAGAAGAGAAGAATGACCATGAAACTGCAAGAATGCCCATAAAAAGGGCAGAGTTGGTTTGGAGATCCTGTGCTGATTTGAAGAGAATTCTGATAATCAAATCTCATTAGTCATGACACAACTTAAGAGAATAAGTATCACAAAGCATGAAGTGATGCAATCAGTGGCTGAGAAGAACTAGTGTTATTAACAAAAAAAGCACTGTGAGCACCCATCCATTTTGCTCGCTTTGCTGCTCACTGGATGACAGCAGGCACCGTCTCATTCCATTGCTGGACTTGAAACAACCTAATTCCTACAGGAGAAGTAGATTAAAAACCACAGTGTGGGCCCAAAGCAATAGTAGAGCAGCTAGGGCACTTGCCTTGCATGCAGCTGATCTGAGTTCAATTCCAGCCACACCTTATGGTCCCCTGAGCCCCTCCGGGAGTGATCCCTGAGCGCAGTCAGGAGTAAGCCCTGAGCACCAGTGGATGTGGCCCTCAAATAAATAAAACAACAAGAACACAATGTAGCCTTGCCTGCACTGTCTTCTGTTTGGTCCTCTGAGCTCTACTGGCTGTGACCCTCTCCAAGAAAAAAAAAGAAAGAAAAGAAAAAAAAATAATAATAAATATATCAAACTGTGAACAGCATTCATATTTGTTACAACACAAATTTTCCTTTTGTGATCTCACTATAAACTATTACTTAGACATCCTTTTTTTTCTTTTTTTGATTTGGTCTCATTGGTTTGGTTTTGGGTCACACCGGTTGTACTCAGGGCTTACTCCTGGCTCTGTGCTCAGGGATCACTCAGGGGAGCTTATGTGGTGCTTGGGACCGAAGTTGGGTCAGCCACATGCCATGTAAGAACCCTCTCTTCTCTACCATCCCTCCACCCAAGACATCCATCTTTTGAGCAGAACCACCACCAAGAAAAGTTAGCTCACTCAGGTACCTATGCCTTGTACCAAGGCAGACAGAAAGCTCATTTTGGGGGGGCGGGGGAGGGCGCAGGGAGCTGGCATCTTTGTTTCAAATCAGAGGCAACAAGTGTCTAGGTGAGAATCAATTCTCAGGGCCTGATAAACTTCCAGAGACTCAACTCCAGGGTGACCCTGAATTGAGGCATACTGTCAAATGTTGGCTCCTCTTCCATATGGCACAGCAAGGGCCCCAAAGCACTACATCAAAAAGACATCTGCATTCCTCTGATCACTGTAGCACTAGTCACAACAGCTCAAAACAAGCCAAGTGTCCGAGAACAGATGACTGGATAAACAGACTATGAGATGTATACACAATGGAATGTATACACTACTCTGCTATAAGAACAGATTAAGTTGGGGCCGGAGCGATAGTACAGCATTTGCCTCGCATGTGGCTAACCCTGGGGAATGAGACCCATTGTAATTACTGAATGAAGAACCTCCGGCTCCGAGCACATCTCTTCGATTCCACTGTTTTTCCTGCGTTAACATACGCCTCAGAGACCTGGGCCCTATGAAAATAGGATGAGAACGCTATTCGGGTCTCCTAAAGATGAATAGAAAGAGCTATGCTTGGAGTATCACGTTTCACTCAAATGGGAGAAAGAATTTGGAGTTCCGACCTCCGTCGACGGTCAAGAACTGTACCTCATGGTGTTTCACTAATAAAAATTAAAAAAAAAAAAAGAATCAAGGACGCTGTCTCGTTTGCCAAGGCGTCGAAAATCAGATGGGCTGGACACGTAATGAGATTTGGAGATGACCGCTGAACTAGAGCCGTTACCGACTGGATTCCACAGGACGTCAAAAGACCGCGTGGCCGCCCACCTACCAGATGGTCAGACTTCTTCGTCAAGACCCTGAACGATCGGTTTGAGGCTCTTCGTGTTCCTAGAACGAACAAACGCCATTGGGCTACACTAGCATGCAACGGGGACAAATGCAGACATTACTGGCGCCCGCTCGAGCAAATTGATGATTAACGGGAAGTCAGGTGATCAAGTGGCTAACCCAAATTCGATCCCCAGCATACCCTTTGTCCCCTGAGCCCACCAAGAGTTATTCCTAAGCTCAGAGCCAGGAGTACATCCTGAGCACCAACAAATGTGTTACCAAAAAAAAAAAAGGAAAGTTGAAATCATGCTGCTATGTGGATGGATCTGGAGAGGATCATGCTGAGTGAAATTAGGAGAGGGACAGACACAGAATGATGTCACTCATGCGGGATATGAAGAAATATAGTAGGGGAAGAACAAATATCCAAGGCAACCGAAACTAAGAACTGGTCTTCAGCAGGAAGCTAACCACAGCTGGGGTCAGAGGACAGCAGAAGCACAGGTCACTCTGGTGGACTACGTGCTGCTCGAACATGTTAGGCATGCAACCCCGTCACTAACAGTACTGGAAACCATGCTACCTAAAATCCCTCCCTTAAAAAAACAAAAAGCTTGTCACAGAAGCAGGTTGGGGCGTGAGGGGGACACTGGTAGAGAGAGAAGTTAACACTGGTGGTGGGTTTGCTGTGGGAACATTGCATGCCTGAGACTCAGCTGTGAATAGCTTTATAAATCACGGTGTCTTAAAAAAAATTTTTTTTAATACTGGCTCGGGGCTGGAGTGATAGCACAGCAGGTAGGGCATTTGCCTTGCACGCGGCCGTGCCCAGGTTCGATTCCCAGCATCCCATATGGTCCCCTGAGCACTGCCAGGAGTAATTCCTGAGTGAAGAGCCAGGAGTAACCCTGTGCAACGCCTGGTGTGACCCAAAAAGCATAAATAAATAAATAAATATAAAAATAAATAAATAAAATACTGGCTCTTAAGCTAGTTCCTGCCCCAGGACCCAGAGGACCCGCCTGGCCTGAGACCCAGAGACAGAAGCTGAGGGATGTGTTATCTGAGCAAGAAACCCACCTTCCGTCCTTGAGCACCTGAGCAGACGCACCTAAACCGTGAGGTTCGAGAGATGGATACAAATCCTGGAGCAAGGCAGGTCGCCTCTCCTTCTGGAACTTTCTGGAAGCTTGTCCTGTGCCAGACACCCACTGCTACCAGTCACTCTGCCAACGACAGAGAAGTGGCCACAGAGCCACCATAACTGGACCCGCAAAGCTCCTCCGTGAGAGTCGTGAGGGGTCCTGAGGGAGTCCAGCCGCGGAGAGCCTCAGTGGACAGGGTGTGGCACTGTGCGGCAGTTGGCACGGATGCCTCTGGAGTGCCAGCAGAGCCGGGTCTGACTGCCCAGGACTTAGGACTGAGCCTGTGGGGGCTGGAGAGAGAGTATCGGGGTTAAGGTGCATGTCCTGGTCTACAGTGGCTCCATCCTTAGCAAGGGGCCCCCAAGCCCCCTGAACACTGCTTGGGAGACCCCCCAAAAAACCCCCTACGCTGCTTTTCCAAATCTGTTGAGATGTTATCAGAGAGAAAGAGAGACAGAGACAGAGGCAGACAGAGAGAGGGTGGGGGGTAGGAAGAGAAGGAGAGAGAAAAAGAGAAGAGGAAGAAGAAGGAGGAGGAGGAAGAAGGAGAAGGAGGAAGAGAAGGAGGAGGAGTTTGTCCAAATCACCCTGGAGGGCTCTTTTATGGTCAAGGGTGAAACATTCCACCACCACCACCACATCCCACTCCATCCTCTGTCCCCTCCGCCTTTCATACCACACACGCTGAATACCCAGAACTTCAGCCTGTTTTCTCCATAAAAGCGACAACACACACACACACACACACACACACACACACACACACACACACACAGTCTCCTCTGGACAGAGGAGGTGAAGAGAAACTAATGAACTATGAACTTAATAAAACTGTGATAAATAAGGGACATCAGAGGTGTAAAAGTGGCAAAGGTCCCACACAGTGATGCTCGTGTCCCCTGCTCCCCTATGGAAAGCACGTGCAAAAGATGGGTGGTGAGTCCCCTTTTGGGCGAAAGCGCCCTGCCTCTCAGAGGCAAGGAGGGTGGGTATGTGCAGCTGCCGGCCTCTCTGTCCCCCGGATCCCGCTGTGGGTAGGAGCATTAGCCCCACAGAAGGGAGTGTGGCCATTGGAGGTCACAAAGGCAGTGAGATATATAGATACAGATATTTTTTTGTTTGTTTTTCATTAAGAGCCAGGTGTCCCAACAGTTTTAACAGAAACAGTGAGCCCATGTATGCCATCTGGGTTTCTCTTTTTTCAAAACTTCAGGGGGGTGGGGTGGGGGTTGGAGCGATAGCACAGCGGGGAAGCCGTTTGCCTTGCGCGAGACCAACCCGGGTTCGATTCCCAGCATCCCAGATGGTCCACCCGAGCACCGCCAGGAGCAATTCCTGAGTGCAGAGCCAGGAGTAACCTCTGAGCATCACAGGTGTGACCCAAAAAGCAAAAACTAAAAAATAATAAACATTCGGGGGATGGGGGGGGTGTGGTGTTGGGAGGAACCCAGGGGGCCTGACCCGTTCAACCCCACCCCGCACCCCTGCTGCTCCCCTGCCCCACTTTTCCCCAGTAACGAGGCCGGAAGCCCCTGGAATGCGCTGGCCCCCACCTTGCTGGCCAGCCCGGAGCCCTGGCCAGGGTCGCGGAGGGGACGGAGGGGAACCCGGAACCCCGCGGCTCTTGCGAAATGCCCAGTGCGGCAGGAGCGAAGCCGGGAAAAGCCCCGAAACCCGAAACTGGTCATTATTAAATTTTCCTTTTCCTTTTCCAGGCTCCCGTGTGCGCCTGGGCCCAAAGTGCGCGCTCTGCGGGGGGGGGGGGGGGGGGGGGGGGCAGGGCGGCTCCGGCCTCCGGGAAATCCCAGCCCGCGACCCCGGGCCCGGGAAAGTCCCGGGAAGCAGCGGTTGCTCCAGCGGCCCGCGGGGACCCTCAGCCCCGGACCAGGCAGAGGACGCGGACGTACCAAGGACATACGCCCCCCTTGCCACGATCTCCTTTGCGGGGGGCGCCCGCCCCCCAATTGCAAAGATCCCGGGGCCGACCAAGCCGGGACCCCGGAGCCAGAGCACGGGGCTTCCCTCTGCGGGTAACGCTCAGCTAGCACGCCCCCGCCCCCAGCCCTCCACACACACCCCCAGACCGCGGCCAGCGCGTTACCTGGGGCCGGGCTCCGCGCTGCTCCCCGCGCGCCGCCTCCATGCAGCCCGCCAGGGGACCCGCAGCTCCCGCGCGCGGCTCGGCGCGCCCCCTGGCCCCGAGCCTTTATAGGGCCGCGCGCGCCGGCCGCAGCGCCCCCTAGAGGCGGCGGCATCCGAGACACCTACCCGCGGCCGTCACGTCGCTTCCTCTCTCCGAGCTCAGCTGCGCCCCTACCCCCGCCCCGGGGACCCTCCGCGCGGCCCGTGCGCCCATCCACCTGGGAGGTGAGTCCGCGAAGGGGAGCGGGGCTGCCCTCCAGCCCTGACCCCGGGTGGCGAGAGGGAGCGAGGAGTGGAATCCGCCCAGCCCGGCCCGCCAGGGGCACAGCCTGCACCGCCCCCGACCTCGCGCATAGGGGTAAACTGAGGCCCGCCCCGGAGGTGGCGCGGGAAGCCGGGGCGGAGACGGCTGCAGGGCGAATGCGCGCGCCGCTGGCTCCCCGGCGGCTCCGGGCCCACCTGCTGCAGTTCCCCGGGGGTGGGAGGAGGCAGGACCACTCGGAGGCCTCGGGGGCCCCAGTGGGAGGAGGAGGAGGAGGAGGAGGAGGAGGAAGAAGAGGAGGAAGGTTGGGGGGGGGGACGAGGCGCCCCGCCGGCCCACCTGCTCTGGCCGTCGCTCCCCCCGCGCGCCGAGCCCGGGAAAGACCCCGCTTCAGAGCTGCAGGTGGGCGAGGCGCGTCCACGCGCGGACAGTCCGAGGGCGCGGTCCCCGCCGGTGCCCACCCAAGGGGACGCTACGTTGGGGGACGGAGGGTCGTGGCTCACCCAGCGCCACTTAGGAGCCCACCCAAGGGGACGCTACGTTGGGGGACGGAGGGTCGCGGCTCACCCAGCGCCCGTTAGGAGCCCGGAACTAGGCGAGGGAGGCCGAAGTCTGCAAAGGCTACGGCGCTGGCGGCTAATCGGCCAAGTTTCTTGTCGGTTTTCCGGAAAGCCAGAGGCTCATCTTTCCCCCAAAGTAGGTTATAGCAGCTGTGTGGAATCCGACCACAGCAATAAACTCCAACAACTAAAACAACAAAAAAAAAAGTGGGATCAGAATTGGAGTTTCTGACACTGAACTTTCATGTTAAGGCATGGAGACACTGCATAGACTGCAAAGGACTTCTTAGGTGTTGTTGGTGACAGGAGAGAAAGAACAGGGTGGTGAAAGCCATGCCCTGAACCTGTCAACCCCGGCTGCATCCTCCAAGCCACATGCGCTCCCCTGAGCATTGGCCTGAGCTCAGAGTCAGCCCTGAATGCGACCAGCTGCGACCCCAAAACCAACAGCCAAAATCCTTCCTCCTCCTCCTCCTCCTCTTCCTCCTCCTCCTCCTCCTCCTCCTCTTCTTCCCCCATCCTCCTCCTTGTCCTCCTCCTCCTCCTCCTCCTCCTCCTCCTCCTCCTCCTCCCCCTCCTCCTCCTCCTCCTTCTCCTCCTTCCCCCCATCCTGTCTGAAAACCTGTTCAAATTATTGGACCGTCAAACTGAAATAGGGTTGTGAAAAATTAAAACAGCCGGAAATGCACACTTGAAAAGTCTCTCAAGTTTGCAGGGGGTTTGGAGGAAAAGGGCAGGGTGTGTGTCTTGCACATGTGAGACCCCAGGTTTAGGCCCAGCACCTCCTGGTCACCCCAGTCCCCGTGGGTGGCTGTGGTGACCCTCAGAACCACCTCCTCCAGGCCTGAATGTTGAACCATCCAATGGGCTGGCCAAATGTCCCCGAGAATGGCCTCCCAGAGCCCCTAAAGAACTAGAGTCTGAGGGGACACGTGGCAGAGCAACGGTCACCTGCCCTGCGTCGTCCCCCTCTAAATGGCAGAGATGCAGGACCCTTGCGATTCTCCAGCGTTTATGAAAACTTTTTGACAAAAGGCCCAGATTTCTGAAAGCTTAACTAGGCTCAGCGCCAAAGAAAAATGATCCTGTTTTTTTTTTCTGTAATTTAATTGTATTGATTTTTCTGAGGATCCTGGGGAGGGTGGAGGTAGGTTTAAAAGGAACTTAAAATCATTAATAGCTGAATTTGGCAAAGTTATTTGTAACCTGTGCTTTATTTGATCCCTGCTTCTATGTGACACCCAAAAAACCACGTCGAAGTTCTTTGTTTTGCTGTTGTCGCAATATCTGAGATTGGATGCTCCTTTGGGGGTGCTCACACACACTGGGTTGCTGGGGGGGCAGGGGGAGTCCTGTCCCAAAGATAGCACTTGACATGTGGGGTGGCACTGGGGATCAAACTCTTCACTCTTGCATGCAAGACAGTGTGTGACTAACTCATCGGTGAGTCGCATTCCTGGGACTTCTAAAACCATAATTTTCTTACTTTTTTTTTTAAACCATGATTTTAAAATGTAAAGTTTTTTTATGGTTTATTACGGACCTTGGCTAGAGGTGGTCACCTGGTGGTCCCCAACTCAGAAGGGCCCAAACAGGACCGAGTCCTCAGGCCCTTTTATTCGATGGTGTCCCAGATATCAGCTGGCCAGATATCAGTTCTAGGACCCCTGGGCACAGCTGGGAAGCTCCTCACTAAGTGAACTTTGGTTTCAGCTCCTTTATTTAATGATCAAATAGCATCAATATTGCTTCCAGGAACTGTCCCCTTCTTTGTCCTCCTTCACCTGGTCAGAATATAACTTGTAATTTGATTACTTGGTACTTTGGAACTAGGAAAAACTTTTCTGTGGGGGAGAAGGAAGTTTCTTTTAGATGTTTTCATTAGTACTTGATAGCTGATGGACTTGAGCATTTAAGTACAATACAAATTATAAAATCAAAAATTGAGGAAGCTGCTTGTAGTAGAGTAGTGAAAATTGTATTGTTTTATAACAGTGTAAGGAAAACCTATTTCTTGTTGCTGGCTTGTGTCCCTTATTGGTCTTCGGGTTGTGTGAGCGTTGGGTCCCTTGCAGGGTGTGTGACCCTGCCTTCTGCTCAGCGCTGTTCCACCCCGAGTCCACCTCATCCAATTTCTGTTGTCCAGCTCAGATGCCAGATTCAGGGCAACTCTGCTCAAAGCCGATGCCCCTGCCCAGGCAACATTCAGAAGCCCATGCGATATCTCACTTTGCTCTTTTTCTGTTTGTTTTTTTTCTTTTTTTTCCCTTTTTTTGGGTCACACCTGGCAATGCATAGGGGTTACTCCTGGCTCTGTACTCAGGAATTACCCCCTGGTGGTGCTCAGGGGACCATATGGGATGCTGGGAATTGAACCCGGGTCGGCCGCGTGCAAGGCAAACGCCCTACCCACTGTGCTATTGCTCCAGCCCCTGCTCTTTTTCTTAAATCAGAGATAGACAGAAGTTCAAAGCGTTGGAGTGGAAGTGAAAAGTCGGTGTGACATTCTCCTGTGTCCATATTCCTGACTCCTGTTCAAACAGACCATTTAAATCTATGGAGAAAGATCTGCTGGGGATCGGAGGGGGGCGGGTGTGTCAGTACCCGCCCAAACAGAGCTGCCAGAAGACGCTTGCTCCCACAATCCAAAATCACTGCTATGCCCCTGACTGAACTCCACCATAATGAGACGGACCTCACCAAGATATTAATCTGCTGAAAATTGGGGTATGCGGGTTTTGTGACTGAAATCTTCAGGCTCTCTCAGAAATGGGATGGGCTACTTCCACCAACCTCCCTTGTACATCCGGTAGCCCTAGCAGTCACGTGTACAACCCAAAGCTGCCACCCAGTTGCAAACCATAACCACAAATGGGGGAGGGGAGAGAGAGACAGACAGACAGACAGACAGACAGACAGAGACAGAGAGACGAAGAACAAGAAGAAAGGTGTCTGCCACAGGGGCAGATGGGAGTGGGAGAGGGGTTTGGGGGGGAAACTGGGGACATTGGTGGTGGAGAATGTACACTGGTGAAGGGATAGGTGTTAGAACATCGTATGACCAGAACTGAATCATAAATAGCTTTGTGATGGTTTATCTCACCGGAAAGAAAGAAAGAAAGAGAGAGAGAGAGAGAGAAAGGGAGAAAGAAAGGGAGAAAGAGAAAGAAAAAGAGAAAGAAAGAAAGGTATAGAACAAACACGTTCTGAAGTTGTTTTAAAAATACTTAAATTTCCATAGAAATCAATTGTTTTTCTTTTGTTTTTTTAAAGAACTGTGATTTACAAAGATAGTTGAGTTTTAAGCATATGATATTTCAACACCAACCTCACCACCAGCATCAACTTCCTCCACCAGTGTTCCTGTATTCCCTTCCCCCCAGCCGCCCCTACCCCCCGCCCCACCTGTCAACTTGACAGGCACATTACAAAGTTTCAGTGGTTGCAGATTAGAGATCAATTCTTCTGATCTGGAGAAAGGACATCAGAAACCTGAAAAGAATTCACGATTCCAGATGCTATTGGGAATATTCATGGGTATAATCCATGGGAGGAAGTGAAAATTGCAACATTAACAGGAATTTGAGCAAAGCTGATTCCGGGCCCAGACTTAGAGGGTTCCAGGCTTCAATGGAGGAAGTAAAGGGCTGAGGTTGCAGAAAAGGCAAAAATTAGAAGTGGCATTGAAAGTGAGCCTCCTGTTGAGACTGAATTGTTACCATCGTGGGGTATCACAGCACATCAGGGGTTGCTTCTTGGAGAGGAGCAAAGAGAGTGGCTTCTTGAGATACTGTAACCATTACTGACATGTCAAAAAAAGGATTGGGGTGGGGGGCTATGCACTCAGCAGGTGGTAAGGTTGGAGAAGATGAATTCCAGTTCTGAAAGAGGTTCTGCCAGGTGTAAAATGCAATCAAATGCATTGCTGGCTGTAGAGAAATCTTCCATGAAACAGTCCAGCAAGAGGCAAAGTTTATGATTGTTTTAAGAAGTGCCCCAACCATCAGCTTCCACCACCTTGAAAATGACTATAACTTGTAGAAGGCTCCTATGATGGTTAGCGTTTTTGTCTGTTGTGTTTGGTTCGGCTTTTTAGCAATAACATCTTAAGTTAAGGCATGTGACTTGTTTTGTTAAACTCTGTGCTTCTGTGTAGCTTGCAGACTACAGTATAATGTATAGTGCTCATATAATATCTGTGTGTGCTGGGAAACCAGAAAATTG